TTCGTTTCTCCACTTCGAGCATCAACGGGCCCAATATTCACTTCCCCACTTCTAGCTTCGTCCCGAGCCCAATTGAGCATCGTGTTAGCCCGATTGAGCGTCCCTGCTTGAGCTTCATCTCTTGGTTGATCATTAAGCGTTCTCTATTATTTTTCCATTAATTATTTTTAACAGTAACAATAAAGTTCTGCTCCTATGTAATTGTTATTTCCTGATAACCCTGTAATTTTTATTTCTATTTTTTGATAGTAAGGGTTCACCGAATTTTCATGTTCTCTCTCTCTCTCTCTCTACACACACACACGCACACACACCCACACACATGCATGCATGTATTAATATTTTCTCTGTCTATAATATTTTAGTATATGCTGTAATGAGTTAATTTTAATCTTAATAATTCTTAAAATTTATTTCTTATTTGTTCCTGGTGGGCTTTAGGTCCTAACCAAATGTAAGGCATGGTCAAGCTAGCTTGTTGTTCGGATCACTCGCCAATTGATTAGTATATTTTATGCATGTCGTGCATTTTACTGAGCGATCCCCTATTCATCTAGACCTGCTTGGATAAGTTGCTAGTTTTATTTAACGAGCCCTGCTTGGATAAGTTGCGAGTTTTATTTTTATTTTTAATTTTTCATGCCATTGATAAATATATTTGCGAAAAAGTTTGATCATGAGCTGTTTCTATATCCGGTGCTAGCCATCTAATATATTTTGATCATAACTAAATTGCTTTAATCTTTTCCTGGGAAAAGATTCCAATGGGTATCATCTGATTTACCACTTCAAAGTTCATTTGCTATTGTTGTTTGCTATTGTTGCATAGCTTGAGCTCAAATTATTGAAAAGTTGGTTTTAGAAATCCCAATTAGTATGTTAATGATAGGATGTTTTATTTTGTGAAATTTTTATACATATTATTTTTTTAAACGGGGAATGTTCCATATGCTTGCTATTTTAGTAAAATATTCATATTTCTTAGGTTTAGTGGAAGCTTTTCTTGCCATTTATTGTCGTGATATTATAATAGCTTTGATATTACGGCGTGACTACCTGTCATGTATTTGAATTGTGCTTACACTTCCAGATTTAGTTATTAATAGTTGATTAAGTGTTGTCTATTGTCATATATTTAGGAGTATTATATGCATGTATTATTAAGTGAAGTCTATTGACATATTTAAATCCCAAGTTTAATGCTTAAGATTTGTGATTTGTCTAATATTATATTTAGAAATTTTATTTAATTTTATGAGTTTTTTTTAAGGCTTACATCAAACTGTCTCAAGGCTTAAACCTTTCTTCTCCAAGGAAAAAATGCCCCACTTCCTGATTTCGACTTTTAAAATTTTGTTTTAAATGCTGTGATTGAGTTAAGATTTGCCTTATGAAGCCCATTATTTAGAAAATGCCCAGAGCGTTTGAGCTTTCACCAATAGGTGCATCGTCACCAAAATGAGTGCTGTGCTTTAATTTTAGAAATATTATGTATTTTGTCTGCTTGCATTATTTTTTGTTATAGATCTGATTGTAAATGTGCGCGGATTAGATTTTTAAGTGTTTTCAGGCATCATTGTTATGTCGATGTATTAGTTTTATTTCAGTGAGGCTGGCTTCACAATCTCTCTCATATAATCGAGTGGGATCTGTCTGTTCTTTTTCACAGTTTAAGTTCATTCAATCGATTGTGCATCTTGTGAGTTTTGAGTGCAGCAAATAAGTTCCGTTTATGCTTGTACGTAAGTTGTCAAGTTCACTTTGTCTTTTTCATTTTTTTTTTCTGTGATTGTCACATTTAGTCCTTTTCGTTTCTTTTGTCATTACAAGTGTTCTTTATTTTATAAACTTGTTCTTGTTAATTTTATTTTAAAGTCTCATTTAATTTATGATGCTATTTTTTGTTCATTTCAAGTTCATTGTATCAAAATTTTAGTAAGTTGCCAGTCTCTCTTGCATAGGGGTCATCCACAAAGAGTGTTAGGTATTTTGACCATGTTTAGAAAAAATATGCATAATCAGCTGCCGGAGAGTCTTTGTCACGGGCATAAGAGAATACACAAACACAGGATTTCATCATTGCGTTCGAACAGGCACATTAGTACTTGATCTAGTATTTTACTAGCTGCATTGAAACAATGTACACAGGTGCTGAACTTTTTAAGATAATTTTTTACATTTTTTTCCCTTATGTACGAGATAGCCTTGCTGGTGATAAGGCAAGGCGAAATACTTCTAGCAAGAGCGAAATCACGTCTTTTTTTTTTCTTGGAACTAATTGTCCTCTCCTTTTTGAAAACCCCCTTTTCTTTTTATTGAATTTTCTTCTACCATCTATATGTGTGTGTGTGCCTGTAGACGTGTGCGTGTCTGTGGAGAGGTAGGGAAAAGTTGGTGATAGGTAGATGGATAAAGAAAGTTAGAATAGGGGTGAGTGACATAGAGAAATTGAGAGGGGAATAGGTGGATAAAGAAAGGAGATGGAAAGTGACGTAGAGGTAGGGAACGTTGGGATGAGAGGGTGATAGAGAGGGAAGAAGAGAATTCAACAGAGAGAGGGGAAGAGAGTTAGAAGAATGAGAGCGGTGGGAGGGTGAGAGGAGAGATTGAGGGAAGAGGAGGATAAGTAACTTAGAGAGTCCATCTTTGGTTCGTAGGGAATCACTGTCTTTAACTGGAAATGAAAAGTCAAGAGTCGTTGGAGGTTTAGCAGGTGAAGTAATCGGAATTAGTAGGACAGTGGCTGTTGTCAGCGGTTCTGAGGTGCTACAGATTTGATATGGATATAACACAATTTTTTACTTCAAAAGTATGTACCTATAAATATAAGTAGATTTTTGTAACAAGTATTAAAGAATTATTTAATTTGATGGCTAGTGATAATATAAAGGAATTTATTAAATTTAAAACACTCATGCCTCGGATCTTGCAAACTTTCATCATCTGTGTCTCGGTTCCTTGCTTTGTGCGTGAGTGAATTCTCCTCTTTTTTATGTGGCAATTTCATGTCAGCCAGAATTTACTGCCTTTGTTGATAACTAGAGCTGTGTTTATTTATTCGGTTTACTTAATTTAGCATTATATTGGTTTCTTTTGGCAATTTTTGGCAGATGGAAGTTGGAATCGAAGATTGTTTGCACATTGAATTTGAATACAATAAAAGCAAGTAAGATTTCATTTATATGCCATGATGGTGCCTTCTGGCCATTTTTGCAACTTCTAAAATTTTTCTTTATTTTTGTATTCTCTGATTTCATCAGGTATCATTTGAAAGATGTCATTATTGGTAAAATATATTTTCTCCTAGTGAGAATCAAGATAAAAAATATGGAACTCGAGATTAGACGCCGGGAATCAACCGGATCCGGGCCAAATACATATGTGGAGACTGAAACCCTTGCAAAATTTGAATTGATGGATGGTGCACCTGTTAGAGGTATTCATGCAAAACATATGTTTTGTCCTTTTGCTTGTGGTTTCTTTGGTTGCTTGAAGTTCGAAAATATGTTCCCTATGGCATTCTTCAATACTAGAAACCCACACAAAATTATCAAAAAAAATGGAATAATTTTTTTTTTCTAGAATTAGTATGAAAATGGGTCATTTACATACATACCACCTAATTTCTATGTATTTATATATCTAACACGTAAACTTTACTTTTTTACATCTATACCACCAAAATCTTTCACATCACATAAAATATACCACTATTTTTTCTTCTAAAAAGTGAAATTCACCTTTTTCATGCATAAGGTGGGATGCATGTAAAATATTAAATATTAGGTGTTAGAAATGTAAATATATAAGAATTGAGTGGTATTATTTATGCAAATCTCCCTGTGAAAAGGGGTTTTGATTGGCCACTTTAACTAATCTTTTTTTTTAAAAAAATTTATTTTTAATCTTTATTTTATTAGGGGAATCAATACCTATCAGGCTGTTCTTAAGCCCATACGAGCTGACACCAACATATCGCAACATTAACAACAAATACAGCGTCAAGTATTTTCTGAATCTCGTTCTAGTTGATGAAGAGGATCGCCGGTATTTCAAACAACAAGAGATTACTGTGTATCGCCTCCTTGAGTAACAACTACTGTTTTTTTCTTTTGGCATTCTCTTAATTTGTATCTGTGTAAAGCTTTTTCAAATTCTGCACTCTTGAGTTTGATATTTACATTTATACCATTCTAAAATCTGTTTAGTTAATGTTTGAAATGCTATAATTACATGTTTGCACATTAACTTTATGTCGTTTTAGTGAATTTGTTTGAGGTGTAAAAAATTCAGACCATCCTGTGTATGGCTTAACCAAGCTTGTTGTGAACATAGTTGTGTAAATTGTTTTTGGGGCATTTACATACATCCCACACAATTCTTATCTATTTCCAATTCTAATTGTTAGAATTTTGTATTTAAGTTTATAGCATTTGAATCTTTAATATTATATATATATATATAAAAACCATTATCTTTACCTTCTTAGAAGTAAAATTCATATTTTCATGTTTAGATTCATTCATGACACCAACATGTTATAAATACAAATATCAAAATTTAGATGTTAGATGTGTAAATACATAAGAATTGTGTTTTGCATGTAAACTTCTCATTGTTTTTTAATGAGAGTTTAATTTTGGTGTTCTGTTGCATTATACCACTCACTATTTTTCTTAAAAAATGTTTCTCTATGCAATTTCTAACAAAGCTATGTATAACCCCAAGAGTAAACTCTAAGTACAATATGTAATTACAATATTCCCCTGGTACTGTACTGCGGGGCTTTACCCCCGCACCCCCAACCCACATAACGTAACTTCCCGATTTGGATAGATTCTTCCGCTTCGCTCTGCTCCGCTTCAATCCAGCGTCTGTCCCGATATGGTATATGAGCCATACCATAACAGTTTAAATATTTATATAAATAAACTTTAAATTTATTTAAATTATAGAAGTACGTAAGAATTATGATATTTATGTACTCCCTTTCCACAATTACCAACTTCCAAAATCTCTACTTAATATTAATTTTAGTATGCATTAAAAAAATATTAAAATTTATTATTTTAACAAAATTATCTAGATGTTGTTATTATAAAAATATGTAAATTTAGGTGTCAGGTATGAAAATAAATTTGATTTGGCTGGTCTGTGTAAATATCACTAAAACAAAACATATGGGCCCAGAGTATGTTAAATGTCATTTCTCCCAAATAGTTGTCGGGGACTGCCGGCTTGGCTCTTCTTCACAGAAAAATATTACATCAGGACTCCTAATGTAGAGCTACGTTCGGATTGAAATATTCGGCTGTATTACGAGAATATTTCCTCTGCATTATTTGTAAAAATGATGCGTTATTCGAGTATTATATGGTGTTATTCGATTATTTTTGCAATGTTATTGGAATATTTCCGTGTGTTACTTAATTTGGGGCAATGTTATCCGGCATATTCCCCGTGTTATTTCAATTTTCACTACGTTATTGCAGTAACACATGCCCAAATGGGGAAGATTCCAATAACACTTCAGCCCCATATCAAGTAGCGCGATGAAATATTCCAATAACACCATAAAATAATCGAGTAACACCATATAATACTCGAATAACACATCATTTTTACAATAACTCAAATGAAATATTCCCGTAACACAATCGAATATTCAAATCCGAACGTAGCACTATGTTAGGAGTCCTGATGTAATATTTTTCCTCTCATCACACATGTAAATAGATAAAATTGGATGGCATGTTTGTAAATTGCCTCAAGAGTTTCACATGCATGTCTCCCGAACTCTTAGTCCCACATGGCTTAAATGAGGGAGAATTCCCATTAGGAATCCTATTAACATGTAAAAAAGAAAATAAAAATCACAATTTAGAAAATAATAATAATTTAAAAATAATAATAATTAAAAAAATAAAAATAAATATAAATATAAATAATAATAACAATACAAACATACACATACATATATTTAAAAAAAGTTAATAATAATACATACATACATATGTAAATAATAACAAAAATAATAGCAATAGCAAGAATAAAAAAAGTTAATAATAATAATAAATAATAACTACAATCATAAGTTTTAATAATAATAATAAGAACAAGGAAAGCATTAACAGTAAATAATTAATAATAATAATACTATACAAAAATATATATGCATACATAATAATAAAATAATAACAACACTATAATATATATATAGACATATATAAATTAAAAATAACATACATAAATGAATAGCAAATAAAATAGATTAGCACAGTAATAATAATGAATAATAGTAATAATATATGTATACCATAAATAAAAGTAATAAATCAATGATAATAACTGGTAGCACTAACGAGTGCATTGCATTAACCTATGGTGAGCTATCTCTCTCTTTTCTATGTGATTTCATATGAATCATTGAATTGACTTATAAGTCGGAAGTGTTAGTGATACGGTCGATGATGTAAAACATCCATTGCCGTGGTTTACTCCAGTGGCCGAGGGAGATGGACCCAATGGGTAGTGGGAATACTGAATAGCAAATGAAGCAGTATTTGATTTCAGTCCCTATTAAAAGAAAATTTATTACGTTCGCCGTCCGCACGTCCAGCTAAATTTATTAGTAAGCTGACAAATCACTATCATTCACTTCATTTGTGATCATTAATGCAGATGCTCCTCTTGAATTTTCGCTCTGTTAGCTATCCCTCCATAAGTAGTTATTATATCTAGATTAATTCATCATACTTGCAATCCATACAGTATCAATGGAGGTAAAGATGGCTTCGTATGAAAGGAGAAAGGTGACTTTGAAGAGCTCGGACGGCGAAGAATTCTTGGTAGAAGAAACCGTGGCGATGGAGTCA